AAAGTGAGGAGCAGAACAGGTAGATCCACTGAAATATACTGATAAAGGAAGCAGAGTGTGAGATAGGAGAGGCCTGCTGTACCACATGGGCCAGCTCCCTGGCAGGGGATTGAGCTCATGCCCCAGTGTCTGGGGATAGCTTGATAGTGCTAACACTTTAACCACTGTTACTGGGGTTGCCACCAGGGTCAACCTACACAAATTCTGGGGCTTAAACAGAAATTAATTCCTTGAAGTTTTGGAAGCTGCCAGTACACGATAAAGGTGCCATCAGGGTTGATTAGTGCTGAGTCTCTTCCTGGCATCTTCTCACTGTGCTCACATCATTTTTTGTACACATAGAAAAGTAAGAGAGACCTGGTGTCTCTTATTATTAGGACACCAGTTCGCTTTGATCAGAGACCCATGCTTATGACCTCATTTAACAGTAGTTACCTCTTAAAGGCCTGATCTCTAAATATAGTCACCTGGGGGGAGGGGTTAGGACTTCAACTTTGGATAGTGGGGGGAACAATACAGTCACAGCACCCTATTTAACCTGATATTCCTGATGCATTGATGATCAGTGATTTTGAATACCTTTCACATGCCTGTTGACATTTTTATGTCCTCATTGGGAAAATGTCATTTACTTCTTTTGCCCTTTCTCAGTCAGTATTTTTGTTATTAAGTTTGAATTCTTTATCTATTTTGGATATAAGCACCTTTTTAAGTTTTTTAAGTTTTATTAATTTATGCATACAAAATTGGAGTGTAGGCCAGAGGTGTGGGGGTGAGAGACAGACAGAGAGGTGTGGGGAGCAGATCTACTGAAATACACTGCTGAGGGGAGCAGTACATGAGAGAAGAGAGGTCTGCTGTGCCATGTGGGTCAACTGTTTGGCTAGAGATACAACTCAAGCCCCAGTGACTGATGATACTTTGATAATGGTGAGACTTTAACCCCTGTCCCACCAGGGAGTCCCTGGATATAAACATCTTATACATAGCTTGTAAAAGTTTTCTCCAGTTCTGCCTTTTTATTTTGGTGTTTCATTTGCTGTACAAAAGCTTTTGAGTTTGATGTAATTTCATTCGTTGATTTTAGCTTTTGGCATAATGTTCATAAAATCATTTTCAAGATCAATAATAAGGGACTTCTTTCCTACATTTTCTCTAGCATTTTTGTGGTATCAGGTCTTCTGTAGTGAGCTATGAGTCCAGGTTTTTGTCCTGCATGTATTTCTCCAGTTCTCTCAGCACAAAATCATAGTAAGTAGGCCATAGAAATCTAATGCAGAGTACAACAGATATAAATAATATTGTACTATAGTTATGTAATGTAGTACACATTACTAAAATAATAACTATATTGTTACAAGGCAAGGTGAAGTGTACCCCAAAACCGCCATACCTGCTTACTCTAAATGGGTTCTTCTTTCTGCTGCATCAAGACAAAACATATTCCTGAGTAAGATCTTTAATGAAAGGAACTTTAATATAATTAGTGTGCAATGAAAATAGAAGAAATAGAAGAATAGATAAAATAGTTTTCGTACAAAACACCCCAAATTACCCATCCCCTTGTGTGTGAATGGCTAACCAAACAGAGTTGGCTGAAAGCAGGACCACTGAGTCCCAAAAGCTTGACACAAGTCTCAGGCACCTCTTGGTGGAGACCCATAGGAAAGGGCAGAGGGGCCAGGCAAGTCTGAGGGAAAAGGAGCAAAATCAAAATCAAGATAAAGGCTGCCATGTTAACCTCCCCGCGGGGCTCTCTCTCACATCTGTGTCAAGTGTCTCCTGCCATATCCCTCAGGTCCCTGGCACAAGTCCAAAGCTCAGAAGCAACATGTCTCCCTGCTCTCCGTGCCTCCTGAAGGTCTTTTCGGCTTTCTTCTGTCTCAGTTTCCTCTCCCTGCTCAGTTTTATAACATTATAAGTAATTATTGAGGAAGAAAATTTTAAATGAATGTTAATTTGCAACTTATGTTGTACCTTAAGCAAGCGCACAGTGCACAATTTATAAAGAATAACTAAATAGATACCTACTTTAACATTAATCAAATATTCCTTGTTAAAGATAAGTCCTGCTTATTAAAAAAATAACTTTGGAAATAAGGATTGTGAACATAATGTATAACTTCCTAGGGATTCTGCTCCTAATCTGGCAGGCAAATAACAAGCCATTTTCACAGGTCACATATTGATTTTTAAAAAATACTTATTTAAGCATACTGAATTGGGGTACAGGCCAGAGGTGCAGGGGTGAAAGGATTCACTAGAGACAGTGTGGGGAGCCAGGCAGATAAATGTACTGACATACACTGCTGAGGGGAGCAACAGGTGAGACCAAAGAGGTCAGCCATGCAGTGTGGGTCACCTCCGGGACTGGAATGGAACTCGTGCTGCAGTGGCTGCAGTGCTGAGTTTTACCCCTATGTGGCACTAGGGCGGGCTCATAGGTTACAATTTGCATGCAAAAATCTGGTGCCTGAAATTAAGTATTTGCAGTTAAAAAAAAAAAAGTAATAATGGTTAGCCAGCCTTTATATTCTTGCAGATTATTCTTTGAATGGGAGTAGACTGCATCCTGTATTACCTTCTAATATTAGTATATCTTTGGATGAAAACAATGTACAGTTAAAACACTTTCTATCAAAAATAGTTAACATTCTTGGTTGTGGTGACACACTTTTCTGGCTATATAATCATATATTCAAATTTATGATTATTCAGAACAATTTTCAAAAAGTAAAATCTGTTGGGCTACTTTCCGGATCCTCACTTTGATTATATAATAAACTCTTTGTCTAATTTTGAGACTTTATATTTTCCTGTTAAAAGAATATAATTTAAAGGTGGAAAAGAGATATATATCAACAACTAAGATTTTTCTGGCTCACTAAAGCTGGAAATTATGAGAAATCACAGATTAAGAAATACTCCATTTTAAAATACATTTTGAAAGTATAGCTTGTCTATATATCTAAAGTTAATCAAGTCTATAACATCAGTATATTATTGGGGAAAAAACAAACGTGAAATAGTATTATATATACTAAACCATTAATAGCCCCATATATTAATAGAAAGAAAACAAATGTATCAGTCAGCTCTGAACTTACATGTCTGTCACAGGCTCTATAAACAAAGACTGTGTGTTTCAGGAAATGAAAAAAATATGTAAACTGTAAATCACCATGCAAATATTAAAAAAAAAATAGGTTCATCAATATTACTTCCTCTGATCCCTCATTAGCCAAAAGATTCTTAACTTCTTAAATTGCAATAAAGGCAAGCTTCTGTTTTTTAGTACATACTGAAATCTAGCAATGTTCAAGACTGTATACTTGGTTCAATGAATATGTTATTTGGCCTTCAGCTACTGTTAATTTATATCCCAGAAGGAAAGTACATGCTTCTTGCAAATACAAGAATTATAGTAATTGTTGTAAATAAATACAAGTTAAGTTACTATGAAATTTCAGAAGCTAAAATCATTATACTGAAGTGAGTGGAGGGAGTTTTACCACAAAGTGGCATGTATAATAGGTCTTAGAATGGCTAAGATTTGGTTTGCAAGACTAAGGTAAAAAATATTCCAAAGGGAATAAAACCAGAATGACAGTGGATATGGCTGAGGCACTCTGAACAACTTAACTATAACAAAGGTTGCTGATAAGGGGGAAATTAGTAAAAACAAATTAGTAAAAACCCTCTTATTGCAACCTGGTGGGAACTCAGAGTTTGCTTATTTGTTTTTAATTCAAAAGTTAGTCAAAATAAGTTCTTTTAAAGCCACGCAAATATAAGTTTTCCCACAAACTAAATTTGACTAACTTCTAGTCCATGATTAAAACCTGAACTTTAGTCCAGGTGTTTCCCACACAGCTTATAGGCTTCAAAAGTGGAGATGAGTGTGCTACCATTTAGAAACAGGTTGTTTTCTTTTTGTTTTCCTATAAATAGCTTTCTAATTCTGCGCTACATCTGGTAGAGCCATAGCTAAAGCAACTCCAGTTTATATTTTTAGTAGTTGGTTCCACTTCCTGCGACTTACATAGGCAGGAGAGTGACCGCCTTCAATTTATGGGTGGTTATCAACACAGATATAGGTATTTCCTTAGTGGGGTTTAGTTATCAATTTGGGCTTCCCTGGAGGCCCAAGGGGTTAAGTCTCAGCACTTTAAAGCTGTGGGCAGCCACTGCAGCACAAGTTGTTACTGGTGCTGGAGCCAACCCACTTGGCTCCTGTCTGCTCCCCTCAGCAGTGTTAATTTCAGTGGATGCACCTGTTCTGTTTTCCACTGTCTCTGGTGAATCCTCTCACCCCGGCACCTATGGCCCACACCCCAGCTCTTATATGCATAAATAAAATAAAACTTTTTTTTAAAAAAAGATTTATTTATTTATTCATACAGAACTGGGGTACAGGCCAGAGATGAGGAGGGTGAGAGGATTCACCAGAGACAGAGTGGGGAGCAGAACAGGCCAGATCGACTAAGTACACCGCTGAGGGGAGCAGCGGGCAGGGCAGGAGAGGTCTGCCGCACCATGTGGATCTCCTCCGGGGCGGGCAGGCGGGAATCGAACTCATGTGGAAGTGGCTTAAGCTTCTTAGTACTGTGCTTTAACCCGCTGCGCCAAGAGGGAGGGCCTAAAATAAAACTTTTTAAAAAATATCAGCTTTTAGTTTAGTCAGTATTACACATTTTAAGGATGGGCTTGTTTTAGGCCCAAAGGCAAGAGCTTCGAAGCCTCCAGCTAGAACAGTGCACTGCGTAGACCCTGGAGGATTTCCAGGAGTTAAGAAACACAGAAACGCCCAAGTTACAGGGCCTCCCAACACAAAGGTCTCCCCCAATTTCAGAAGCCGTGCAACACTCCTGCCAAGTCAGCGACCCTTTCCAGCCTTGGGCGGCTCTTTCCGCCCCCTCTCTTTCCGCTTCCGGGAGGCTACTTCTGGGCCCGCCCAAGGCGGGGGCGGGCGCGAACGAGGAGCCGGAAGTGGCCCTGGCACTTCCGCTACGGGAACTCCTGACTGCCTCTGAACCGGCTTGACAGGCGCGGTCCTCCCAAGTTGTTCTCGCTCTTTCGCCTACCCGGCTCCAGCCTCAAACTCGCTTGCTGCCGCTGTCCCGCAGCTTCTGTCTCGGAAGCCGCCCCTTCCCCATGTTCCGGGGCAGGAGTTCTGAACGTGAAGACCCAGTCGCCGGTATCCCATCATGTCCGAACTGACTAAAGAGCTGATGGAGCTGGTGTGGGGCACCCAGAGCAGCCCGGGTCTCTCTGACACCATCTTCTGTCGCTGGACGCAAGGTACCGTGGCTGGGCTTTCGCTTGCACAAGTCGCTTCCTTTGGTCTCCGAAAGTTCTGGCAGTGACGCTGCCGGCTCCAGCCCCTCGCGTGCTCCTGACTCTGTCCCAATTCCCGGGCTCGGGGCTGAAACTCCACTTTGTAGGAACGCCCTAGCTGGGGAGAGATTGAGGAAGGCACCATAGCTGTCCTGGGTGGCTTTGCCACTTTCCGGCTGCCTCTCGAGTCGAGAGAAGAGGTGGCTGGTTGTAGGGCAGCTGTAGTTGACACTGAAGGTGTGCTCCGCTGTGCTTCGGTGTCAGTTTCTCTAGCGTGCTGTGGTCACCTGTGTCTTTATCCCTTAACAAGCTTCATGTTTTTGGTGTTTGGTCTAATTTGGTGTAATGAGAGAGAGAAAAGTCCACGGGAAAATCAAGGTGCTCATTTCAGAAAGCACTTGTGTGTGTTTGTGAATTGTGGTTAGGCGTGGTTCTAGCTGCATAAATCCATGTAGCAAATGCTTGTTACAAAGTGTTTTCTTGAGCCAAAGTATCTCCGGTTTTAATGTGTTTTACTGTTTATTACAGTTAAAGGGAATTCTCAACACAGCACTTCGTGTGCCCCTCTCTTGTTAAGGATTTTAAGGATTTTAAGTTATATAAGAAGTTTTTCTTTTTTAACGAATAATACAAAAAAATCCCACTTATTGAATTCCCGCCCTTGCTAGGTTGTGTTTATTTTTTATTTATGTGGCTACGCGTGGTACTCGGTGTATAAATCCAAATGCTTGTAATGATCACAATTTTTAAGGTTTGTAATTATTATGTACCCAACAGATACATTAAGGTAACCTTAGAATGACTATGATGAAGTTCTGTGAGATTGTCTTTGGAAAACATAGACCAATAAATAATAAGTACTTAATGCTACTGTTAAAACTTTTAGAGACTAGCCTATTCTCAGCGGATTTGAAAGTAAATCTAGTACTGAAATAAGGTGTGTAATGTGTATTATGGTAACAAAAATTCAGGGTTTACGTATTCTTCAAGCTTACCAAATACCTTTTTTTTTTTTTTGACTGGTAAAATTAGAACCGTGATGTATTGCAGTCAGTAAGGTTATTTAGTCCATCATTCTTGATTTGATGAATAGCAAAATGAGTCGTGAGTGACATGCCGGAAGAGGCACTCAATTTGATAGAACTACAGGTGATTTTCAAGTCACCCGACTCCTAATGCAGCTGTTTTCAATATTTTCCTTTGTGTTTCTAAACTGATAATTAGTTTGGCTTTTTTTTTAACTCAATTATGTCAGTTAACTAATTTGTAAAATTTTGTACACCTGCGCTTGCAGATTTTATTTTGCAACTTCTCACTTTGACTTATTTATCCTGTGACTAGTCCTAAAATACCCAAAGAAAAATTTACTTCCCAATTAATTAGACAACATTAAATAGCTTTTACAATGTAGAATAAGGTATTATTCATTTTTATTTCTGTTGTTAATATTGTGATAAAAATTCAAGGAAAATCCAAAGGCAGGGGGTTTTAGAGACAGTTAAAGAGCAGGCTTTGGAATAGGTATAGTTGGGTGTAGGTTCAAGTTATTTAGCTTAATTAAGCTTCATTTTCTTTCTCTGTAAAGGCAGATAAAGGTAATGTCAATCTTACAGGACTGTTGTGAGGAATAAATGCATGTAAATATATTCAGGCACTTGGCACATTATGTAAACACTCCGAAAAATGGTAGCATAATTTGAAGAGTGTTTCATTTTAGATTAAAATGAAGATCATTCTCTGTGCCCTGACAATTTCCAAAAAAAATTGTGAATTTGATAAATACTATTTAAAATAGAATTTTATAGTGACATATTGGTATGGCCTGCCACCTTGTACTTATTCAGAGATTTATTAAGACAATTTGTTCAGTCAATACCACTTCAAAATAAAGGATTTTTTTTCTTTGCTTTTCTGAAAATACAATTATGTACATGATTTTTTAAGGTAACCAAATCTGTATTTTAATTTATCTCTGAGTCAGCGAGATAGCGCTATTGGTTTTGCTATGTTAACAAAACCAATACTTACACATTCTTAGAAGCAGAAACCATTGTTACAGATGCTGTGCAGTCATTTGGGATTATGGGAATAGGCACCAAACCCTGCTGTGCTGCGTTTGCCTTACTGCATTAGTAAGGAAACTTTGGCTTTATATCATAGCCTCTAACTGCTTTCAGTTGACAACTATAATCTTAGGGTTTTTTTTGCTTTTTTTTTTTTAAAGCAAGTTTTAGATGTAAGATGTTTGGAGCACATATTTATAAAATTTTATCTAGGGAAATTCCACTTATGAAACTTTACTAACTGGTTATGTTAAATTATTTTGATGTGTTAAAATAACAAGCAGCACAGGAACTGAGTAACGTGGTTTGTTGTATATTTCTCTTCATTGCTTTGGCAGTTTTAGATAACATAAAACAATCTGTTGGAATGAAACATACTTTTTTAAATTGCACATTATGGATAATTTCCTTCTACTAATTCTTTAAATGTAGAGTTCTGTTTGCCAATTTTAAAGTAGTAAATCATGTAATGTAAAGACTTGAAGTCTTTTTTAAAACTTGGACATTTACTTTCTATTCCTGCCTCCTTCCCTCCTTCCCTCCTGCTCAGTTTCCTGTGATACTTTTTTTTTCTCTTTTTTAAAATTTTAATTAATATATTTACATAAAAATTAAATATTTTTATTATGTTTTATTATGTTTCATAATGTGATACTTGATTATATTATAGTTTTTAAATTAAATATTTTTATTATGTTTTATTATGTTTCATAATGTGATACTTGATTATATTATAGTTATGGTGAGTTTTAACATTAGACATTTTTTTTTTACATTATTCTTGTGCATTTTTCCATCTAAGTTGTAATCCCTGTGGACTCCCCCCACCACCAGTTCACCTGTGTGCCATCGCCACAGTCCAGTGCACTCTTCCCACTCCAGATCCCACCCCCGTAAAATGTCTCTGGTTAATAGCTGTTTCGTTGTTTTCATGTTTTACTCTATTACATTTGTTTCTCTCTCTCTTTTTTCCCCCTGATCACTTATGCTTCTGCTATGAGTGAAAACATCCAGTATTTTTCTTTTTCTTTCTGGCTTATTTCACTAAGCATGATCCCTTCCAGCTCCATCCAAAAGAAAAAAAAAAAGTGTTCTTTTTAATGCATAATTCAAGCTTTGGTAAAAGGTAGAAAGGAGGCTTAAGGATGTCAGCCTCCTTGTCATTTACTGAGCTGTACATTTAGAAATGACTGAGTGAATTTTATATCTTTTAAACCCACAATTAAAAAATTTAAAGAATTTTAAAGGTAGCTGCAAAGACAGCTCTTAAAGATAGCTCAGTCTGTAGATTTAGTTATATGATTTATTCTTGCTTGTTAGACCACACTTAATAGAGAGTTGGTTAAGGTGCAAGTTTCTAACTTCAATACTTAAATCACTAAGAGATGGTTTTGTAACCCTAGGTTAAAAATTACAAATGGAACTTTTATTCAGTCTATTTAGTTTACTGAACTCTGAAAGAACTTTTTAAATAGATCTTTCTCTCCCTTTGCCACTATAGTCATTGGAATCAATTTCCTGTGATACATTTTAAAGAAAAGAATGTATTTCCTACTTTCTTGGTTCGTAATCACCATTTATCCTCCCTTTGCTTCTTTATACACTATCTCAGGCCTCTGCAGCATTGGCTTGGTACATTGGAGGGGAAGACAAACAGTAGTAACATAACATAGCATAAATTTATACAGTAGTTTAGAAGGAAGTAAATAGAGATGAATGGCCTGGTGGCTCTCCTTGTAAGATGAGATTTGGGCAAACACTTGAAGGTACTGAGTTAATCATGCTGCTAAAAGAAAGTGTGGGCAGACGGTATACTCTTTAAATAACACTTAATATAGATTAAACCTGAACTTTTGTTCAAGGGAAAAGAGGAGATTAGTTTGACTGGAGGAAAGAGGAAAGTAATAACAGATGATATAAGAAATAATATGTTGCATATCCTATAATCCTTCACAGGCCTTTGTAAGGACTTTGGCTTGTTCTGAATGAAATGAGACATTATTAGAAGGTTTGAAGCAAAAGGAGGGACATGATATGGCAAGTTTTTGAGGCTTGATCTGAGTGCTGTTGGAGGTTAACTAGTGGGGTGAGAGACATTAAGAGCAAAACAATATTTTACTTGGACCAGGATAGTTGTAGTGGAGACTTCAGGAAATGTCAAATTGACCACATCTCAGTAGAAACAAAATAGGAGTCATTTAAATCTAAAAGATGTAAGTAGAATATTAATACAAGTGGGAGCATTTTGGGAGCATTTTTTACTTACTTTGAAATATTTCTTTTCAGTATTGATGTCTAGCTTAGTGTTTGGCAAACATTCTGTAAAGAACCAGTGTCTCAATACTTACCTCCATCATTGCTGCAAAAGCCCAAGATAATGTTGGTGTGACTGTGCTCCAAAAGTTCATTTACCAAAAAAGGCCCTAATGTAGATTATAAACTATCAACCATTTTCCCCTTTCTCCAAGTTTTTACTTATTGTTTCACCTAAAGGTAGCTAGAAAGGCATCGATCCCATGTTGCTGTTAGTACTTGCCTGTGTGTGGGGGCATGGGTAGGCTTTATAAGCTAATATAGCTAATAAGCTATAGATGACTGAAGTAGAGTTTTGGACATTGCTATAAGATAGTTTTTGTGAACGTAATTTGAAAGAGATTTACCAAGTGATTTTGGAAAAGAAGTATCAGTTAATAAGTCTACAGTGTATTTAGGAGCTAATGCATTTCAATTAAATTTAGTTTGAAAGTATGTTAGGATGTTTACTGTAAAGTGAGTCATTATTTTACCAAAGTAATAAAATGATGTACTGGTATCATTAACTTTTCTTCCAGAGTGAGGATAAGTTAATACTGTGAATTAATACCATTTCATGGAATTTTGTTATTCTAAAAGCCTTTTATT